ATGAGGATGGTTCAGTCAGTCCCACTCTCTGCTCATCAGAGTCCCCAGCACATCTGCAGCCCCTGCTGCACTTCTTTTAGGCAGGTTGAAATTACTCTAATTTTTCAAGCTGATTATTTTGCATTAGCCGCTGAAAAGATTCCATTAGGAGTACAAAGAGAAAATTGAGGTCTCTTTGTCTAGAGCTCTGCACAAACATAAACTCCTATTGTTAGGTAAAAGTGAGACCCCAGCAGCTTCAGGCTAATCTATCTCAAAGCAATGTCAGGAAGTAAAATTAACACAGACACCCCTTGTTCTTGTTGTCTTTTGAGTAATAATCTACTTTCTTATCCCCTCCCAGTCCTGTCCCACTTGGCTTCCCTCCCAGTTTACCATGCAGGTGGAAAGTCCCTCTCCTGCCATCTTCACAGAGGTTCAAGGTTCTCTCAAGTGCACCTGAGCTGGGTTCATCTGGAAAAGCACTTCTGGAAAGGTCTGGTAAAGTCTTTCTCCAGAAATCCACACTGCCAGGTGGGGGGAGCCACCTTGCTTGGACTTTTTTGATTACAAGTCTTTTTCAGGGCCTCACCTTGTGCAAGGTCTTCACCAGAGCTGTGCAGCTGCTTGTGCTGACATCCACCTAAGAAGCAAATGCTCTTTACACAGCTTTGAACAAGCCACCCCAGAGGGGTTGTCAATTTTTTTATCTCTTGGGTTGAATTTTCTTTAATTAATTTACCCTTTATCTACCTTTCTTAAAAGAACAAAGTCAGGGGGAAAAAGCATGCTTCCACAAGCTTCATTTGAAGTATGGTTCTAGAGCAGTAAGATGTTTCAGATACGCATTTTTGGACAATCTTTGGGTACTACAAAGACCAAATGAATTCTTTCATCTTTGTATTTAGTTTTTGTTTAACGTTCAGGTTTTTTCAGCCTTTGATCTGTAACAGAAATAACGGCTACCCAGTAAAAACATTTCTTATTGTTACTCTGTAAAGACTTTTGATTGATTCATCCTTCTTCTGACTCATACTATTAACACAATAGCAGGGTTTGAAAAAGAAAAAGTAATCTTAGATAAGAGCTGCACTTTACCTTTCCACACAATCTTTAAGCCATTTGACTATACTTTTCAAAAAAAAAAAAAAAAAAAAAAAAAAAATAAACAAACAAACAAAAAAAAAAAACAAAGAAAAAAAAAAAAAAAAAAAGAAAAAAATCTTAAACTTAAGGCAGTAGATACTTAGCAAAGATCTACTGATACTGGTTTTGGTCTCAGCATATACTGGACAAAACAGTTCAAGACTATCTGTAAATATCAAAGAAATTACCACCTGTGCTGACCAAAGTTGCTTTCCCATTTTTTCTACAATTAAGAAGGAGCTAAAAATGTAGACTTGCTATTTCTTTCCAAAGGAGAATTACTGAGAATTAGTCTGAGAATCATCAGTCCTTTTGAATATCTGTACAACTATCTCCATTTAGCAGGAGGGAAAAAGTTAAAAGGAAAATAAAATAACTGAATAGATTTAAAAAGGCCATTTAATCCTGTATTGTATAAACTGTTTATGTTTCTACAGTTTAGGACAGACAATTTCATTCCCCAGATACAAATAATTAATGGTGTTTTTCTCAGCTTTTAGCTCCCTCTTTAAGGTAAGCAGATATAAAAGGAAGTCAGGAATTAAATATTCAAAACAGAGGCATGATTTTCTCAAATTCTATGAGTGTTAAGCAGACAAAACAAACAAACAAATAAAACCACCCCAAACCATCACTGCTACTGAGACATACGCAAAGATCAATATTTTTTGGTTTGCAGACAGGGGTATGAACTATTCCAGTGGCAACCAAATGCAAATGTCCATTATCCAGATAAAACTGGATGGGATTTTCTCATACTCCTTCTTTATACTTTCAAAATTCTTTCTTAGAAGCTCATGGAGGTTCCAGGAACTGAGCACACACACTGACACACTGATTCCCAAAAGCTGCTTTTATGATGGGTGCAGTATATGAATCTTAAATTCCTCTGCCTACCAAAGTTTTCCTGTTGGTCAGAATGAGGCACCTCTGCAGAGGAGAAATCACCTTGTCCTTCTGGATTCTCTGTGGTTTGAGAAGGACTGTAACTCTCTATCTGCCAGTTCTGCTCCCTTTACTTATTGCCACATTCTGCATACCTAAAAGGTGGGGCAGGAAGGGCAAGATGAAATTATACTTAAAATTAACAGGTAAGAGATATCGCTAAGGAAACAAAAGCCACATACAATAAAAGTGAAGTTGAATGTCATAGCGACAATAATAAAAACTATGATAAATCTTAATCAACATTAGAAACATTCAGAAACTTAGAAACTTTTTTTTTGTGTTTTAAAGCAACTTATCTGACTCCCAATGGCAACTCTCCAAGTTAATGTACACCCTACTGCTCTTACTCCCTGAAATGCTGAACAATCCTGAACCTCTTCCTGATACTGAAAGCTCAGAATACACAGCTGTGGAATAACTTAAGACTATTCTAAAAAAAAAATTCAGAATACCTGCAAGAACTTTTTAAAGAGATACTAAGATCATGCAAGTAGAAACTATTTAAACTCTTAACAAGGCAGAACTCAAAGCAGAGCTGAGGGCAGTTCACTCTCTGGCAAACCCAGGTGCACATTTCCTCTATGACCTATTAGCTAATCTAGACTGTCTAATTACTTAAATATATTTTAATCTGAAATGATGTAAAGAGTTCTAATATTTCTCCCTTAGCTCTATTATTTCCATTATTATAACTGCTCTAATATATGATCTAACTGTTTTGCTGTGTTTGCTATACAGAAAGCATTTACAACACACTCCACAGAGGAGGTTGTCCCACATACCTACATTTTAAATACTTGAGCTTTTACTCTAGTGGAAGCCTGACAAAATGCAAGTAACTGATTAAAAAAAGATCTTAAAGAATTCTCTTCTGTGCAGATTGCTTTGATACTAATGTTACAGATTTCCACCAAAGATCAGGTCATGCAAACACAAGTGATGGTTTTTGGATAAGTCTGCAAAGAGCAGGTGAAACCATGCCAAGTTTTCTATTTGGATGCTGCTGTCCAAATGCAGATTCCTGAACTGTTGCATCAGGATTTCAGCCCATCAAACCTCACAAGCACACACACACACACACACACACACACACATCTATGTACACCCTGCCTTGCAAACTCAATGCTGATGAGCTCCAAAGGGAGCCTCACTTAACTGGTTCAGAAAACTAAAGTAAAAAAAGGAGAATGGGAAATAAAAATAAAAGCATGCCAGACTTGCACCCATCCTCCAGAACAGATACAGGTTATCATTTTCATGGCTATATACAAACAATATAAGAGGAAGACTTAGATTTGTAATTCTTTTCATAAAAAAAAGCGAAGTTTCACTTTGGGGCACCTTGCCCCATCTGATGTTCTAGCAAAACAAGGGTTTAGGTAACTTTCCAACAAGCACAATTTCACTAAGGGCTGCCTACATAGGATTTGCAAGTGCAGCCACTAATGGCAGGAGTTTGGCTGCTCCCCAAGTAAATTTCTTTTCCTCCCACTCCAGAAACTACTTGTTACACTATACACTGAGGAATATTACACAGTGTGAGTGCAACCGCTTCCTGAACAAAACCCAGCTATACCATCAACAGGGTTTTTTTTTTAATGCCAGTAGTATTTTATACCATCATAGCCAATAAAAACACTTTCCAGGAACCCATTTGCCAAGTTACACAGCTCACATGTCACAAAAAGGTTAAGCTACAGACAAGTAAAGAAAACCTTTGACAGAGATTTAGAATGGAGAGAGAGAACAGTTTAAGAGACTGGAGATTTCTGGAATATGTACTACCGTGTTCTCTTCTGCTACACAGAAATTAAAGGGAGAAGTAAAATTTTGAGATAATTTTGTTAGGAGAGGAAGCACAGGTGGCCTGCAGTTCATGACCACCTTTTTGGCCTGGAGCTCTACATACTGGTATTTTTCCACAATACTGGTATTACACACATACATAACCCTTCATCATCCATTAATTTTCAAGAGACTTGGTTACATTATAACTGGATGGTGACATGGGGGTGTGAAGTGGCTTGCTGCAGGCCTGACCTCACCTGCATCATTTATCAGAGTACATCATCTCTCCTGTCTAATCAAATGAGTTACACCATTTTTAAGCACACACCAAGACAACCAACGTCACACCACAACGTGTACTGGTAATGAGGTTCTTAGAGAGCTCCATACAGACACGCGTGTGTAAAGGCACAAAGACCTCCTGATGGGCAGGCCCCAAATTACCCTTTTGGGATACAGACCCCCCAACAAGAGCCAACACTGCGATGTGCAAAGGTTCGCTCCATGTTTTCCCACCACCGGCGAGATCCAAGCAAACAACACGACAGCCACGAAGGCCAAGATCCAATTACACCCTGGAGCCCCGGGCCATGTCAGACAGCTTCTCTGGCCGTGCCTTGCACACGCATTAAGTGGCCCCTACACCCCACTAGAGCTTCCCCAGACCATCCGGGCTGGGGCATCGCCCCCAGGGGCAGGCGGGGTCCAGCTGGCTGCCAGCACAAGGACACCGCCGTCCCCGGCACGGGACACGGCCATGACCCTTCCTTCAGGGGCAGGAGCCCCGGCTGGATGCGCCTGCTGGCGGCAGCGGAGCCGAGCAAACCCACGGGCAGCACCCCGGCTCGCCGTGCACCGCCCCGGGAGGAGCGGCGCTAACGGGAGCGGCGCGGAGCCGCCGGGAGGCGCGGCCGCGGGGTGCGCGGAGCCGCGGGACGGGCACCGCCGCCGGCACCGGCCGGGCGGGGAGGGCGCCCTTGCGGGCATCCCCCGCCGTGCCCTTGCTTTAACCAGGCTTGGCAGGAGCCGCTTGGGCGCCGGAGCTCGCCCGGGCAGCGCTGCCGTCACACCGCCCGCCCCGCAGGGAACAGCGGCGGAGGAAGAGAAGGAGGAGGAGGAGGAGATCCGCGGCCGCTCACCTGCAGGGGGAAGGTGGCCGCCTTGTTGCCCACGTAGCCGCGGACGACGTGGCTCTGGATGGAGAGCACCCGGCACTCCGGCTCCATGGCTGCGCCGCGCGCGCCTGCCCGCGCCGGGCCGGGATCAGGAGCGGGGGGCGGAGCGCGGGTGACGCGCTCGCCCGGCCCGCCCGTCACACACCCCCGCGCCCGGGAGGCGGCCGGGAGGCGGGCGGCGGCGTGCTCCCAATGGCCGCTCCCGATGGCCGCAGCTGCCCGGCGCTGTGTGCGGCGCAGGGGGACGCGGCTGCCGCCCACCCGCGGGCAGCCCCGCGCACCCACCGCCGCCACGCGGGCACGCCTCCGCGGCCGCCCCGCCCGGCGCGGCCAACGGCGCCGAGCCCGGCCCGGCCCGGCACGGCCCGGCCCGGCCCGCGGCACGGAGGCGGCGGGAGTCGCGGCATGGGTCAGGCTGGAAGGGACCCACCAGGTCCAGCCTCCCTGCTCAACCCAGAGCACATGGCACAGGGTTGTGACTCTGGAATATGTCCCATACTCTCTCCGGGATGTCTGTCCCAGTGCTCGGTCACTGCACAGTGAAGTTCTGACCATCAGTTTCTTCCCCTTGCTTCCTGTCCTGCTGCTGGGCGCCATCAAGCAGAGCCTGGTCCATGTTCTGACAGCCCCCTTTTAGATTACCCATTAATGATGTCCCTCTCAGTTGTCTCTTCTTGAACCTGAACAGGCCTCAGCCTTTCGCATACGAGAGATGCTCCAGTCCCCCACTCGTCCTCATTATCCTCTACTGGACCTGCTTCAGGAGCTCCATGCCTCTCCTGTCCTGAGGAGCCCAGAACTGGACACAGTAAAGAAGCATTTTCTACCTGAAAAGAGATTGTAGTGAGGTGGGGGCCAGTTTCATCTCCCCATGCCTACAGTGAGAGGGCTAGAGAAAATGGCCTTGAGGCAGAGGTGATTGAGGTTTTTTTAGGGTGCTCAGACATTGGATTAGGCTAGCCAGGGAAGCGCTGGGGTTGCCATTCTTGCAGGTGTTTGAGACATCTAGATCTGCTGGGTGATGTGGTTTAGGAGTTACAGTGCTATAGTGGAGTGGATGAACCGTGCTCGCCTGTGCCATGCCATGAACCACCCACAGCTGCCCACATCCTGCTGGAAAGCCAGGACTGGCACAAACATCCCAGCAGTGTGTCAGCTTCCCCTCCCTGAGTGTTCAGAAAGCCCTGTGGAGCCACAGATGCCACAGGCAGCCCTACAGGCAGCAGTGCCTGGAGGTGACACACAGGCCAGGCTGTGGGTGCCCTGACAGAGCACCACCCTTGCAGCTGGGTTCTGAAGTGGCTGCAATTGTGTGTTATTGATCCAAAAGAAAAAAAAAAAACTGGAGAGCTGCCAAAGAGTAAAAGAAGATGTGTGCATTGGCTGGAAAGTGTTACAATACATCAAGACACTGCTGAGATGGGCCTTGGTAATGTGTTTGGGAATTTCATCTTCCTCTGGCCATTTGTCATTATTGACCGTCACAGGTCCAATCGCAGCTCACAACAAGAAATGGCACCTGATGCCTCTTGTTCTTCTTCATGGATAGCTTTGAATTGACTCTTGAAATAGCGCGATTATTTCTTAAAAATGTGAAAGAGTATTTTCCTCATCGTAAATAATCTGTTGGAAAATGATGGAACATACTGTTCTCTCTTCAGTTGTCACTTGTGTTAGCAAACTTAGGGCTTATTCTAGGCTGGGTTTACTACCAACTGTTGCCTCAGCCCTTCAATACATATTTTTTTTTAATTGCAGAAATCACTGCATCTCCATGAAGGGCCAGAGCAATTAACTACCTGCATCACATATGCTCCCACTCCTCTAGCTTAGAGGATGATTGTTGGAATACAGATTTTTTTTCCCCTTTTCTCTGGTTTTCATCCTTTGCTCAGGATTAGTGCTTATTGCACCACTTTGGCCTTGTAAGCAAACATACACATATACCAGTTCTATGCAGGATTGCTACTTTTTTCCTAATATTCTGAAATGTCCAACAAAATCCAGTTCCTATAAAATTTTATGCTTTCCCCAGAGGAATATCTGGAGCCTCTTCTGATGATTTTTAATTAAGGATTAAGGAGTAGAACCTGCATGCACACAATGTTTTTGACTCAAGAGTATCCAGCCCCAACATTTTTCAAAGTATGGGCGAATCTATATGTCCATACACTAAAAAGCAAAAAAAAAAAAAGCCAGAAAATATTTCTTCTTTCCTTCCAGAAAGCAGCTCATCTAAAGGTGAATACACAATTTCTGAGCAGTGTTTTTTTACAGACTTTGTCATATTTATTCTTTAAGAAGTCAGGCCTCTCCCTCATAAAAAGGACTGTGTCTCTCAGAAAAAAGTGAAGCTAAACTTCCATTTCATAGTGATCATGCTTCCTACTGTGCTATCCTTCTCAAAAAAATAACTCCCAGGTGCTCCTCCAAATTTGGGGATTACTAAGACTGTTCAAGGAGCAAATAACTGTTCAGTGGATGACAGAAAGATTCATTAAGAAAAAAAAGTCAGGGCAGGTTAGATTAAAATGTCAGCAATAGAGCAGCTGTTCTCAGCTTCCTACAACAGCTACTGCTGTAGAACTGCTTGTTCTATATACCTCTATATACCTCCTCAAGCTCCTGGCTTCTCAGTGGACTGTGCATACAATTATACAGTTTTTTTTTCTTTAAGGTAACCTGACCTCTCAAACCAGATCCCCTTGGTCAGAGCAGAACATTTGCTATGAAAAATGAAAATTGAGAAGTTTATCAGAATTTGATCAAGAAAGACCACAGTCAAAAAGACCACAGTTTATCAACAACTGGCAATCTTTCTTCTACACATATTGCTCCTATGCTCTCATTCTACAACTCACCTGAACGTTTCTCACATCTCCCTCACTCTCTGCTCAGCCTGGCAGTGCACCACAAACACACCCTATGGCAGACCTGAGGCAAGAATACACACAAGAGTTGTCCAGCCAGCAGTTCTGGAAGATACACATCTTTCCCGGCCTTCCTTGCTCCTGACCAGACAGGACAAACATCCTTTTGGGCCAGTTGTTGCACAGGCTGCCGCCTTCCTGTATCTGTGTTGTTACCCTTTGGAATTGCATGAAGAAATTGTGAGATTGCAGTGATTAACAAGCTTAACATGAGTCTACAATGTCACAATATTGCAATAAAGGTCATCACCTTTTGGTCTGCATAAACAATAGCAGAGTCTGCCAGATATAGGAAGCCATCCTGGACTCCTCCAGTCATGCTCAGCACTGGTTGGGTCTCTGATGAGGTACTGCCAAGTTTTTGGAGTGGTGTTTTATTCAAAATGGAACAATGGCACAATGCAAGAGGCTGTAAGAAGGGTTGAAGGCTCAGGACACACAGCCTAGGAGGAAATGGTATCTTTAGCTTAATGAAAGCTCAACTCTAATCACAGCTTACATTTGCATACAACACAGAGCTGTGAGGGAGCAGAAAGGACAAAACTACTTTCCATAATGGAGGACTTGCTGCCATTATGAAAGGGATTCTAAAACACACAGGAAGAGATTGCTTTAAAATATTGAAGAGGGTTCATTTTCAGTTTGTTTGTTTTTCATTATTACTGGAAGAAATATTTTATAAATATTGATAGCTATGTGTAAGTTTCTTTTGGAACAGGGGACAGACTTTACCTGCCAAGGTCTCCTGAAGGCCAGATTTTTGATATAAACACAATGGGGCTACCAAGTATATGATACACTGAGCTTGATAGAAGATGCATAGAGAGGGGGCCTTAAATCAGATTTTGTGTATTGTGTATGGATTCTATAAATCATCATAGATATGACAGAAAAGAAAAAAGTCATGGTTATGTGAAAACAGTATCAATACCCACTCCTTTCATCAGTAAGTCTTGAAGGTGGCAGAATTGGACTATCAGACAGTAATAATTAGAATCATAGAATCTTTTAGGTTGGAAAAGACCAATAAGATCATTGAGTCCAGCTGTCAAGTCCACCACTAAATGATGTCCCTAAGCACCACATCACAACTCTTAAATGCCTCCAAGAATGGTGACTCAGCCACAAGCAGCCAATTTCAGTGCTTAACAACTCTTAAAGTGAAGAAATTTTTCCTAATAGCAATATAAATCTTTTTTGTTGCGACTTGATGCCTTATCCTATTGTCCTGTTGCTCGTTACTTGGGAGAAGAGACCAACTTCTCCTACATTTCCTTTTAGGTAGTTGTAGAGAATTATAAGGTCACCCCTGAGCTTCCTTTTCTTCAGACTAAGCACCCTCAGTTTCCCCAGCTGCCCTGTCACAGGGCTCTTGTTCTAGACCCATTCCCAGCTCCAGTGAAGAGTGTACCAGTCCAAGCCACAAGCAGCCAGGTTTTTTCTAGAAGAATTCCATGGGAAACAGTGTCAAAGGCTTTGCTCACATCTAGACAACATCTATATTGTGCATTCCTCAGTCAGAAAACCATCTGGATTTAAGATACTGATATTTGCTTTTCAGTTGAATGTTTGCTAAGACAGATTGTAAAGTACCAATTTATGATTGTGATAATTGCCATAAAGTATTAACAACATTTGATGTAGGAGGGCACTGTTATAGTTGTTTCATGCCAGATTTTCACTTGGCCTCATTGAAGTGGTTAACTTTGTCAGGAATTGTCAATGTTAAGGGATGACACAATCAGAAGATCAAGTGGGCTGTGTTTTCACTTACACTTTGACTAAAACCTGTTCTCTGCCACTGACTTGCCAAAGCTCCATGTGTTCTGAGCATTCTTGCTTCCAAATGTCAGGCCCAGTCTTGCAATCCTCAAATCCATTGTTTTACTGAGGTAAATGGAACTGCTTGTGGGATAGCATCCAAGGAGCTGGGTGTCGAGGTGAGAGACAGCACAGTGATAACAAAGTTCTGTTTAAAATGCTGCACTGCTGTCACAAGTTGCCACAGCTGCACAGCACTGTATAGTGTGGCATTCTTGATCCTTATCTCCTTCAGAAACTGAAAATACAGCTTTTTATAAAAACATGCAAGAACACTATGCTGGGCAATTCTAAGCTAAAGAACTCCTTGCTCTGGTACAACTCCCCATAACTATACACAAAATATTTTGTCTTGTGCTGATGTCTGCAC